TGGACTAAAAAATATAGCAGCAGCCCAAATCTCTATCCAAACTATTTAATTCCGCTGAACACTTGGAGGAATGAAATTTTTTGCACAATTAGTCTTCAGAGTGAATTCGTTCGGAGAACTGAAAAACATGGGGAAGCCTTGAAGGATCGAGGAAGAACTTTATATTTGTTGACTCTCGCCACTAATGAAATTAAGAAGTTTGTTATGATAAATAATAGTGGTGGCTTTGGAATCTTAAATTATGTGGAAAGCATTGTACCAGTAGGTACCTAACATTCACGTTGAAGAACCTTCATCATAAATCCTAGTTATTACATAGTAAATTTACTTTGTTTAAGTACTCATGGTGGAAGATCATTTGATTGCTCTTTTTAGATGTTATTCAGAATGATGATGAATGCGGCACATGTTCATTGACAAATATTTTTAGCTTCGTTTGACACACACATATATAGATATAAGTGCTCATGCGTGCGTGTGTGTGTAATTTCATTGTTATCCTTATTTTTCGTAAATAAGATCGCTTATATATATGGATGATCTAGAATTCGTGGATTGTATCAATAGTTTTATATCAGGGTTTTTCTTTCCTAATAACCTATAAACAGTTAAAAAAAATTCTCCAAATACTACATGGTTGGAATTATTTCCCCAAATGCTATAGTCAAACTTGTTCAAGACTTGAATAACTTGTAAAATTCATCCAACCAAGAACAATTTTTTCAATAAACTTCGTTTTCCATGTAACTGAAATTCATTTTGATCTGAACATCTTTTAAATTTCATCACTCTTTGAACAACTTCTTTATCCGTACAATGATTTTAATAATGATTGGATTATATTTGAATAATAAATTAAGAGCAAATAATTGGATGAGTGTTAATCATTATATCATAGTAAGAGTAATAAATGATATTATATTAATTACAAAGTGATTAATGAAAATAAGTAATGATTAGGTTTAAAAAAATTAATAATTAGTAATGATTAAATTGACATGAACAAAAAATGAAAATTAATTTGGTTACAAATAATGACTCTTGGTAACACATCTTGTTGTCCTTTGCACATATTGTGATTATTGTTGTATATTCACTCTTTTTGAGTTTGATCAAATGTCTCATTTGTCTAGGTAATTGCCATATTTAAATCAAATAAAGGTGATTCAACTAAAGAAATTGATTGCCGAGAGGTAGAAAATGCTTCATTTGATGGATCATCTTACTCAAAAATAGAATATTATATTCAACCATAAATGATGTGGGATTATCAAATAAGGACTTGAATGATTGAAATTAAGGAGGATTGGTAAATAGGATAATGTTGATGGAAAGAATTAAAATTAGAGACGGTTGTCAAATGAAGAGCTTTTCTACAAATAACTATTGTGATTAAATATTCTGATAAATTTGATAAATGAAATACTATCTTTGATATTTAATATAAGAGTTAGTTGACTAATTTGATAAGATCAAGAAAATTAATTAAGTAGTTACTTATAATAAATAGGTGTTATCTTTCATAAAATGCCGATGCTAATCATGTGTATTAGCTAAAACTATCATTTTATGAAATCTTTAACATGTGTAATTAGACTACCTTGGAAAAAAAAAAAAGAACAGATATGAGAGACAAAATGGGTTGGGGTCTATATTTAGGATCAAATTAGAAGTCTAACTAACTCTTGTATTAAGGACTAGAGGTAGTATCTACTAGTATTTAGAAAATTTTACATATGAAATTCAATGTATACAAAGTATACAAGCTACTACCTCCGGTCCTTAATATAAGACCCTATTTGACTTTTTGTTTAGTCCTAATTATAAGACCCCAATCCATTTTGTCTCTCATATTTATGTATTTTTTTTCCAAGATAGTCCTTCTAATAATGATAGTTATAACCAATGCACTTAATTAGTAAGGATATTTTAGGAATGACAACACTTATTTATTACAAATAATTAACTTAACTTACTTTCTTAATTTCCTCAAATAAGTCAACAGGGTCTTATAATTAGGACCGGAGGTAGTAGCATATAAAACTTAAAAACAAACTCAACATATTAAAAAAAAATCGTGTTTCAAGATGAAATAAAATGCAGCACACACTACCAACTCTGCTGAAAGAATGGAAGGATGAAAAGCTTAAAGAGAATGAAGAAGAATGGAAGGATAAAGGAGCTAAAGAAAAAAAAAAGAAAAAGGCAGACTCAAGAGCAGGGGTACTAAAAGACAAAATCACAGTTGTTCAATGTGTGAAGAAATTCACTTTGTTAGTGTGGGGCCAACTAAACTTGTTCCTAGTAAAATGAGTTCTCCAATTTTTAATATGGGACTCACTGATCTTGTTCTTAATAAGAACGAGTTCTTTGCAAATTTAAACTCGATCACTATCCAATCGACTTTGAAGTGTAGCATCTTAGTAAATATTTTCAATACTATAACATTTGAGTAAAATAAATTACTGTTTATAGTATATGAGTTAAGGGGAAAAAAAACCATGAGAGCAAACAAAAGCAGGTGAAATTAATTTTATGCAGGTGTTAGGCTTGGTAATGTGAGGCCTCTTATATTCCGTGCCTATCAAACTTCAAGTTAGGCCCTACCATGAATAAATATATAATAGAAGAACACTTGTGCTTGGGAGCAAAAAAAAAACAGGCGTTAGTGAGGTTGGGAATGAGACGAAGAGGATGTGAGATTCCAATGAGTTCAATCTTAAAAAATGGAGGGCACGGATGAAATTTTCAATTAATTTTTGTTCGCTCTTTAATATCTTATATTTTTCTCTTTAACTTTTATAACCTTACTTATCTGATTTTTTTTTTTAAAAAAAAATTGAACTCATTCCTCCCCATCCGCCTCATTTTCCTTGAATCGAACCAAAGAGAGAATTGATTGTGCACAGGGTGCAAAATCTAGTTAGATTGATAGGTTGATGTTTGTGAGTTATGCGTTCTTTTCAATCTTTTCTATGTGACTTTTCCAACTAAAACAAACGGATTGAAAATTGGTTAAAATGGATTGCTCTGGCATCATCTCCTTGTATCTATATATAATCTATAATCTTTTTGATTTTAACTTTCTTTAGATTCGTGTGGCAAAATTAACCTACGTGTATATTGAATGAGAACCGCATCACTGGTTACTAACATTTTTTTTTACAAATTAAAAAATTATGGCTATAGGGATTTATGGTTATAATTGTGTAAAATGTAAGGATGCAATAAAAAAATTACGAAGCCCGGATTAAAATCAATTGAAATTATGATGACTTGTGGACTAATAATCATCCCAAAAATAATGAGACAAATTCTATCTAAAGCTATAATTGCTCCCGCCTTGAAAGGGATTAGCTTGAAGTCTGATGTGATTTGGGGATTTCCTAGTTTCACCTAAAAAAATTTATATAAAATTAACGTAGATATAAAATGAAGTTATGTAAGACTAGAAAGATAAAAAAAAAAAAGTTATATAAGATTAGTATAGTCATATAAGATTAGTATAGTTATACAAATGATTTCACATATCGATCAAATTATTTCCTTTGATAGACTTGTAAATCGGTATAATTAGAACTAAGATTTGGTTAGAGAAGGTAATGGAAGATCATAGTAGATTTTTTTTGATTGTTATTGAGTCAGAGATACGGATAAATTAATAATAATATCTTATGTTACTGGTAATTTATGATATGAAATTTATTTATAACGTCTCAGTTAGTAATAACCATCGAAAAAAATATTAAGATCAATTTATTTTGATATTGTTCACATCATACTTAGATATAGCCAATCAAAGAAAAAAACTTACATTAACTATACTATTTTCATACTAATAATTTAAAATCAATTGTTAAACCTCTAGGCAAAAAATCAATTATTAAATTTGATTCTGAAAGCACAATATGTTGTTATAGCCTACAGCTTATAACAAACAGTTCTTGAAGCACCAAATTATAAAAGCTCTTTTCACGACGGAATTTTTTTTTCGTTTCACAATAGTTCAAACAATAGTCTACTTTTGATTTATATATAATAACAAATAGATTGAATGCTGGTTACTTAACTTCTTTTCTTTTTTTTTTAAAATACATATTTAGGATTATAATGAATAATATGACATTTAAATTTGCAACCCAATTGCTGAATCGCAAGGAATGACGATAGGTGCGCCTGAAGCGATCCTCAAGAGTAGTAATTGAGTCCTTCCTCTTCTTTTCTAATCATTGAATTAATATTTTAAAAGTTGAGATTTAAATCTTTTTAAAACTATTATTAAAATATTAAATTATAAAAATAAATAAATAATAAATTAAAAATTTTATTAAAATTTAATTCTAATGGTTTGCAAATGTACTAAATATTTGTAAAAAAATTTTATAAATAGTTTATAAAAATTAAAATTTTAACCATTGAAATATGTTAATCCAGTGGTTAGAAAAGAAAAAAGAGGTAAGAGGAAGAGAAGAGGAGAGATTCCAAACCGAGTAATTGAGGAAGTTCTCGCAATGAATAAGGCATGTGGCAATGCCTTAACCTATGACATTCATGCTTTTTTTTTTTTTTAGCAAAGAAGGATCATCTACTGCTGATTTATAGACATATAAGGGGATTTAAAATGAAAATCAGATAATTTACAGTAAACATAAAGAAATTAACAATACATAAGAAAATCACAACAAAAAATGAGGTGATTTAAAAAAGGGGAATTAGAACAAAAAATAGGCCATTTATAAGAAACAAAAATTACTTTTGTTTGCAAAGCAAGGACACAACCATATAAATATCTTTTCACCTATAAAATTTAATTTACTTTTTGTTCAAGGGGTACAGTGAAATTTGACAATGCTTTTGAGGGGAGATTTTGGATAATAAATAGCCGCCGGGGGTGATATGGTGAAATTCTTCCATTTATTAATTATTAATACACTACTAACCAAACCGCACCCAGATTCCCTAAACCCTAAAACTACCCAGCACACTCTGAAGCGTCGGTAATGGAAGGCGGCAATGCTTATCTTCCCCGTGAGATCATCGTCAACATTCTCAAGAGACTTCCCGTGAAATCCCTAATCCGATTTCAAAGTGTCTGCAAAAGTTGGAAAAATCTCTTGAATGATCCCTTGTTCATTGTAGATCACCTCCACGACTCCCATCATCGACCTTCTTTTCTCTTCAAACAGCTCTATCAGAGAAACGATCCGCTGTACTTGTGTTCATTCGATCGCAACTTTCGACTCCGTGAAGTCCACAACCCACCTGTGATCGATCACTACTTGTCCAGTTTTGAGAATTTTTCAAACGTTCGGATCATCGGTTCCAGCAATGGCTTGCTCTGCGTTGAACTTCGTGATCATTATATGTCTTCTCATAAGCTTCTAGTGTGGAATCCAGCAATTAAGGAGGCGCAAGAGGTACCCAGAACTACTTATTGTAAGAGTCTGGTATCTATAGGATTTGGGTTCAGTACGATTGCTAATGATTACAAGATAATTAATATTTCCTTTTTTGGGTCGTATCTTGATCCGAAAAGGGGTTCATATTGGGTCTACAAGAGGGGTGTGAATGAAGTGTTAGTGTATTCATTGGGCACAGGGTTGTGGAAACGTGTGGAACATGGGAATACATTAAAGGATCTACGTATTTATTGTGAAGCAGTCACTGGTAACAATGGAACCATTATTTGGCTTGCGCAAAATGATGATGGTGATATGATAGTCTCATTTGACATAGCAATGGAAGTGTTTACATTAATACCAATGCCAACTTTACACCCAGGGTCAGCTTCTATTCCTACTTTTTATGAGAACAAACCAGCTTTTCTTTCTCACAAAGAGACAGGAAACTCTAAATCTGGTTTCATTCATTTGTGGCTGGTTGAGGAGAATACATTATGTGCATCTGGAGGAGGGAGATGGATTTGGACTAAAAAATATAGCAGCGGCGCCAATCTCTATCCAGACTATTTAGTTCCATTGATCATTTGGAGGAATGAAATTGTTTGCACAGCTGGTCTTCATAGGCAATTCTATTGGAAGACTGAAAAATATTGTGAAGCCTTGAAGGATCGAGGAAGAACTTTATATTTGTTGAATCTCACCACTAATGAAATTAAGAAGTTTTTTATGAACAATTTTATTTGCGGCTCTGGAATCTTAAATTATGTGGAAAGCCTTGTACCAGTTGGTAACATTCACATTTAAGAACTTTGATCCTTAATCTTAGTTATTACTACTAAGACCTCGTTTTTAGGCCCTAATTATAAGATATCATTTGTAGACTACAAATAAGATCTTATAATTAAGGGCAAAGATAATACGTAGTAAATTTACTTTGTTCAAGTGCTTTGGTGGAAGATCATTTGATTGCTCATAAATTTTTGATGCCCTTTCAAGACGTTTATTCAGAATGACGATGAACGTGGCAAATATTCACTGCCAAATATATATTTTTGGCTTTATTTGACACACACACACATATATAGATATATATATGTGCACATGCGCGTGCGTGTGTGTCTAGTTTCAGGTTGTGAGATCAATATTTTACTGGAATTCATCATATGCTCATTTTTTCCCCTTGCACATATATGTTCTTCGTGTTCCGGATGCTATTACTTTTTCGTAAATTTATATGATATAGTATTCACTGAGTATTTAAACTTAATTAGCTTTTAGGGCCTGTTTGGTTTGAGGCTAACAAGAGAGAGATAATGAGAGATTTTAATGAATTTGATTTTAAAAAAATGGAATTCTTTTACTTTTTCATCTTATATATTTTCTCTAATAAATCTTTCTAATCCTACTTATCCAGTTTTTTTTTTTAATAACTTGAACTCATTGTTTCATTTCTGCATCATCTATGTTCAATGATGCACGGGGTGTAAAATATAGTTAGATTAATGGGTTAGCTGTCTGTGAGACGGTGAGTTAAAGCTAATTAGTTATGCATCATTTTCAATTGTATTTATAAGAATTTTAAACAAAATCATGCGGATGGAAATGTGGTCAAAATTGACTTTTTTGCTGACATTAAAACTGAAGTTCACGAGGCACCTTCGATGAATAACTTGTCGGGCTTTAGGATAATCGGTTACAGTAATGACTTGGTCTGTATTCGATTTCCCTTCTTCTGTGGAATCCAGCGATTAGAGAGGCCAAATTGGTACTCAGAACTATTGATTTTTTGGGCGATTGCTATTTTGGATTCAGGTTCAATCTAATTGTTAATGATTACAAGATATATAGTTAAGATTTATGGTTCTTAGTGAAACTGAATGTGAAGTGGACAGTGATCAAGTAGTAAGGACTCTGCTATCTTTGATCAATCTCACTACTAATGAATCTAAGATGTTTGTTATTGATCAACAGTTGGGGTTTTAGTGATGTTATTAATTATGTAGAAAGCCTTGCTTCAGTCAATAACATACACATTGAGAGGGGGGGGGGTCAAGAAAGCCTTATTTGGAATCAGGGTTCCAATCTCTACTTGGAGAGGTGCTAACATTATTTGACACAATGTCTCAGGTAGGATTACCTTGAAGAGAAGAATACGTGATGTGTGCTGCTAACAAAATCGTTATGCTAAATCTTGATTATTATGTTGCATATTTATTTTCCTGAAATGCTTTTTGCTAGAAGTAAATCTCTGACAGCTTAGATTATTTGATGCTGTTCTTCTAGTTCAAATGAGGAGTTCCCCCCATTATTTGGAGTTTATTGGTTCTTCTTTCATCACCATAATGTGATTCTAAAGCAACCTTGTTTCTGAAATGCTTCCAAAAGCTTCTCAAGTGGCTTGACATAATTACCCTGGGATTTCATGCTATAGCATCTGAGTAAAATAAATTACTGTTTATAGTATATGAGTAAAAAAACCTATGAGAGCAAACAAAAGCAGGTGAAGTTAATTTTCTGTATGTGTTCAGGCTTGGGAATGTGAGGTCTCTCATATTGCGTGCTGATCACCTCCAAGTTGTGGCCTGACATGAATAGAAATATAATAGAAGAATACTTGTGTTTAGAATAAAAACAGCCTTTAGTGAGGTTCAGATTGTCGGTTCCGGCAACAACTTGCTCTGCATTAAATTCTCAGATTTTGGACATACTCGTACTTTTGTCCTGTGGAATCGAGCGACTAGAGACCTTAAAATGGTCCCCACAACTATTGAATTTATAGGTGATTACACTATAGGATCTGGGTTTAGTATGATTGCTAATGATTACAAGATAGTTCATATTTATGGCTGTAGGGATTTTGAACTTCGCACAATGTCTGTGAATGGGGTGAAATTGTATTCTTTAGTCTCAGGGCTATGGCAAGAAGTGGAATTTGGGATTTAGAGGGTCTAGATATATGTTGTGAAGCACCCACCAGTAATGGAGCCATTTTTTGGGTTGGCAAAAAGCAGAATGATGAGCGCCCCATGATAGTTTGATTTGACATAGCAATGGAAGTGTTTACATTAATACCAATGCCTAAGCTACATCCTAGGTCAACTAATATTCCTACGATATATGACAACAAATTAGCTCTTCTTTCTTACTATAAGATGGGAACCTTTGAATCTTGTTTCATTTATTTGTGGGTGATTGATGAGGAGAATACTTGGACTAAAAAGTATAGTGACAGTCCCTATTTCTATCTCTATTTATTAATTCCACAAAATATTTGGAGGAATAAAATGATTTGCAAAGTTGATGTACTGGCTAAAAGTGTTTGGAGAGCTAAATAGAAAGTGGAGAAAGAACAAAAACCGCTGACTATGATGAAGTGATGATGTATATGATGATAAAGAACAACAAACTTTAATCTTGTTGAATCACACTACTGATGAATTTAAGAAGTTTGTTCTCAACAATTCTGCTTATGTTTTGTTGGAATCGTAAATCATGTGGAAAGCCTCAAACCAGTTGGTTTCACATTGAAGAATCTTGATCCCAAAATCTTACTTGTTACATCATAAGCTTTTTTTTACAGTTTGTTTGAGCACTTTTGGTGGAAGATAATTTGATTGTTCATAAATTTTTGATGCCCCCTTGAGATGTTATTCAGAATGATGGATGCAGCAGATATTCACTACCAAATATTTTTTAAGCTTTATTTGTCATTCAGATGGATTTGATTAATTAATTGAAAAAATGTTGGCTTGTTGAACTGAATTCATCACAGTTTAGATCATTTATCTCGAACGAATCATATGCTTCCTTTCCCCCCCCCCCTCCTGTACAAAGATGTTCTTCTAGTTCTCTGTACTATTACTTTTTGTAAAATTATCAAACTAATATACTTACTCAAGATTTAACTTCAATTAGTTTTTATGATTTGTTTGATTTGAGCGCAATGAGACGAAGAGGATGAGAGATTATAATGAATTCAATTTAAAAATGGAGAGTACAGTTGACATTTTTCATTAATTTTTTTTGCTCCTTAATCTTATTTTGTTCTCTTTATTTAACTTCTATAACTTTACTTACCTGTTCCCCCCCCCCCCCCCCCCCCAAAAAAAAAAGTTGAACTCATGCCTCCCCAAGTCCCCATCCGCCTCATTTTCCTCGAATCGAATGAAAGAGAGAATTGACTGTGCACAGGGCGTAAAATCTAGTTAGATCGATAGGTTGATCTTTGTGAGTTATGAGTTGTTTTCAGTCTTTTTTAAATGACTTTTCCAACCAAATCAAAAGGATTGAAAATAGGTTAAAATGGATTGATCTGTAATCATCTCCTTGTATCTACACAATCTGTAATCTTCTTGATTTTAACTTTGTTTAGATTCGTGTGGCGAAATTAACCGAAGTGTATATTGAGTAAGAACCACATCATTGGTTACTAACATTATTTTCTTTTTTAACAAATTAACAACTTATGAGTATAGGGATTTATGCTTATAATTGTGTAAAATGTAAGGACGCAATAAAAAAATTACAAAGCCTTGATTAAAATCAATTGAAATTATGAGGACTTATTGATTAATAATCGTCCCAAAAATAATGAGACAAATTCTATCTAGAGTTATATAATCAATCAATCAATAATTATATTCTTGAAAACTTGTAATATCCAATTCGTTTTAAAAACGGGTCGGGTATAACATTAAGACATCCAAATATATTTAATTGATGAGATTTGAATAATATTTTGATTAGAAATTATGTGTATTGAATTAAATGAGGAGTATCATTATTAAATGGGATTTCAATTTGAGAGTCAAATAAAGGAATTAATAATTAATTTTGAGTTTGAATGATATCTTAATTGGGATTTGAATATATTGAATTAAATGAAAAACATCATAATTAAATAGTACGTCAATTGGGAGTTTAAACAGAAAAATAAATAAATAAATTGAAATTTTTTATGGTCTTCTTAATTTTTGAATCTCTAATTTAAATCTCATTTGAATGAATTAAAAAAATTGCACTTCTATAAAAAGTGAATATAATTTTGAGCTGCCTTAAATAATACAATTTATTATTATTTAAAATTTAATCAAATATTTTAAGCCGTGCATCGCACGGGGAAGAAATCTCTAGTTGCTCTTGAAAGGGATTAGTCTCAAGTCTAATGTGATTAAAAAATTTATATAAATCTAACATAGATATAAATGAAGTTATACAAATGATTCACATATCAATCAAATTATTTCCTTTGCCAGAGATATAAATTTGTATAATTAGAAATAAGATTTGATTAGAGAAGGTAATGGAAGAAGATCATAGTAGATTTTTTATGATTGTTATTGAGTCAGAGATACGGATAAATTAATAATAATATCTTATGTTATTGATAACTTAGGATACGGAATTTATTTGTAAGGTCTTGGTTAGTTATATCCATCGACAAAATATTAAGATAAAGTTATTTTGATATTGTTCACGTCATACTTAGATATAGTCAATAAAAAAAAACTTACATTACTATTTTCATACTAATAATTTAAAATCAATTATTAAACTTCTAGCCAAAAAACCAATTATTAAATTTGATTTTGAAAGCACATTATGTTGTTATCACCGATAGCTTATAAGAAACAGTTCTTCAAGCACCAAATTATAAAAATTCTTTTTTCGGTAGATTTTTCTTTTTTGTTTCACAATAGTTCAAACCATAGTCTACTTTTGATTTATATATAATAATAAATAGATTGACTGCTGGTTACTTAACTTCTTTTCTTTTTTTTTTCTTTTGTCCCAAAATACACATT